TTTTTTAAAAAGATGAAACTTTTCTGAGAAGAAATCCTTGCCTTCATATCTGTCCAGAATAAAGGAACTTAAAAGGGGTGGACTTTATCTCAGGAGCATTACTGAGGTGACTAGTGAAGTGATGATGTAATGAATGTGTTATCGCTCCATGCCTGTGTGACCTACAGGACTTCAAGGCGATGTAGCTTTATTAAGCATTGATTAATTATCATAGTTTTAACTGCGCTCTCGTGTAATCCCCAGAGGATTGTGGTTTTATAAGACATGCAGATTTCCAGGCGTATCATGACAGCAGTATTAGCAAGTGGAGCTTCATTAATGCAGGAAGCTAATTAGCCCAGAAACATGACTGCGGTTCTTATCTGTAGTGATAAGAAGAGGATTATGGTGATGGTTCTGCTCAGCCTGCTGTGGATAATTACAATTACTGTAATACATTGTAAAGGAAACTGTGGGTAATTAACTCTGATTAAAAAACCATTACCATTCTGTAATGAACATGTGGTGCAACTTCCTGCTTTATTACAGAAACTGATTTTGGTTTTAAAGCGACACAGGAGATTACTGTCAGTTATTATCATTTATTCTTTCATGTAGTTCCTGGGATTGTTATTGGCAGTTCTTAAAAATACAAAAATGTGTATATCACACTTTAATGTTGATATTTTAGCCTAAATAACGTTCAATTCCTCTCCAGACTTCTCTGTTTGGACTCACTGACTCCCATTCTAGGATTTTATCTGTGTCCACTGTTTATTTTAATAATATTAATAATATTCATTATGTGTTTGGGGTTCTTGTTATTGTATAATTTCTTGTAAATTGTGTAGGATGTAAGTGTGTAATGCGTGACCAGGCAGAAGTCAGAACAGAAGATGGGAAAATCACCTGTACAAACAGGAGAAATAATAATCCAAAGAACAAACCAAGAAAATGGGGATAAATGCTGAGGAGGTTAAACACGGCTCAATTATTACTTAATGTAATATTTGGCAGGACTTCGTAATGAAGGAATGTTCTTGGCGTTGTTTATGTGCTAGGAGTCAGAAAGTAAACAGGAAGTGGAATAGTGCTGGACAAGGTCACGTTACAATTCAGGAGACTGTGACCTCTGCTGGCAGGGAGGGGTAGTGTCCTGAAATTTTTTCTTCTTTAATTTTCGCATCTCAGGCGCCCGGCTAGCTCAGCTGGTAGCGCATGGGATGCTTGATCCCAGGATTGTAGGTTTGAGCCCCATGCTGTGTGCTGACCCCAGCCACTGGTGGTGCTTAGGCTAGTGCACTCTCAGTGCCGGTGCCAAGCCCGGATAAATGGCGAGGGTTGTGTTAGGAAGGGCATCCGGCGTAAAACCTCTGGCAAATCAATATGTGGACAATCGAAGGTGATCCGCTGTGGTGGCCCCTAACGGGAACAGCCGAAAGAACAACAACAAAGGTGCCACATCTCTCTCCGCTCCCATCACAACTCCATGTCCCAGAATTCCATACCTTCATCCAGCTAGTTCTGCATCTCAGTTTCCCTCAGGGATCAACAAAGTACTCTGTCTGTCTATCTGTCTGTCCATTCATCCATCTGTTCCTCCACCTGTCCATCTGTCTTTCTGTCAGTCTAACAATCTATCTGTCTGTGTATCTATCTGTCTGTCAGTCTGTCCATTCATCTATCTATCTATCTATCTATCATTTCCCAACACCTGACAGAAGACTTCACCAGCCATACACGGATGTGACGGGTCATGTGAAATAAAGTTTGATCAGGAATTCTGGGAATTTGTGACCGAGATGTGATACAAGGCTAATGTGGCTAACAAGTAATGGAAGCTTATGAGCTTGTCATGTAAAGAACCAATCAATAAATACATAAATAAAAACAATACCAGTGATCATTTATGGAAGATCTTCACAGAAGAACATTAATACATGACATTTTGTCTACTCCAGTCTTCTATAGATTTCGAATAAGCGGAACTAATTCTTTTTTGGAGAAATTGTTCCTTTAATCTGAACTCCTGGTTTACTTCTGCGAGTTACATGCACACTGTAATGGATTTTTGAGTAGGATATTCATACGACAGCTTTTAAACCTTTTGAAACGTAAACGTGGTGTGAAATTAGAGTCGAGTCGCTCTGATTAAACGCCGTCCTCCTCGTTTTACTATAATGGAAGAACCAGACTTCAAAGCGTGGATCTGTTTGAAGTGTGATTTAAGAAAAGCAGCTTCTGTAACAGAAACACACTTATTTCACACTTCTGCATTTCTTAGACGTGAGTTTAGCTCCGAGGTTACGTCAGACGAGCGCCGTGTTTCAGCCGGTCGTAAATGAATTGCTGTAGATGGGAAATTAATTAGAGAAGCTTATCTGCACTCAGGGGTTGCTGGGATTTTTCTTCCCAAGGCTCGTTACACACACTGCATTTGACTTAAAGGTCAGTGTGTTTTATTTCCTAACTACAGCAATTAATAAGCTTATCACTGAAGTGAGATCAGTTCAGTAAACGCTGCTCTCCAGATAAAGCAGTGCAGTCATATTTCTCTGGAAGATTTAAATGCCAAGCTGTACAGATGTCACATTTATTCTCCGTGGGTTCTGTGTTATTGTAGTTCATCCTCATTATTCAAAAAATATAAGTTTGGACACATCTACTTATAAACAGAACAAATTTTTGACCCTGTAATCATAAAATAATACAGTTGGGGTCATAATTTTACATACACCTTGGAGAATCTGCAAAATGTTAATAATTTAAAAAAAAAAATAAGATGGATCATAAAAATTGCATTTTGTTTATTTAGTTCTGCCCTGAATAAGCGATTTCACACAGCAGATGTTTCCATCTCGTCCACAAGACACAATAATAACTGAATTTACACAAATGAACCAGTTCAGAAGTCTCCATACGCTTGATTCTTAATACTGTGTGTGTTACCTGATGATCAGCGACTGATTTTTTGTTTACTGATAGTTGTTCATGAGGCTCTTGTTTGTCCTGAGCAGTTAAACTGCACACTGTTCTTCAGAAAAATCCTCCAGGTCCTGCACATTCTCTGCTTTTCCAGCATCTTCTGCGTATTTGATTCCTTTCCAACAGCAGCTATATGATGCTGAGATCCATCTTTTCACACTGAGGACAGCTGAGGGACTCGAACACGACTATTACAAAAGCTGCAAACATTCACTGATGCTCAAGAAGCAACACGATACATTTAGAGCCAGGGGCGTGTAAACTTTTGAACAGGATGATCGGTGTTAATTGTTATTATTTTATCTTATGGGAAACATTTAAATATCTTATGTAGCTTCTGAAGGGCAGGACTAAATAAAAAAAAAAATCTTTAAAAATAATAATAGAATAGTGTCAAATGCTCTCACGTCATAATTTTTTTAACAGCTTTTATTAAAAAAACAAGTTCTACAACATAAACCTATTCACGTAAAAAACTTATTTAACTAAAACTTAAATTTAATTAAAAAAAATGTACCCTAAAAAAACTTATCTTAAAAAGGCTTATTTAATTTAACTTATGTATCTTAACTCTAAGTTAAAAGATTATTTAAATAAAAAATGTATTAAACTTCATTAACTTAGCTCTAAATTATTCAACTTATTAAAATTACTTTTAAAAATCTACACTATAATTAAACTTAAATAACTTATTTAATTTAAACTCAATTATTTAGCAAATGATAACATTTACCATTTATTTAACTTTAACTTAACATTTAGCTTAAAATGTTCTTAAAGTTAAATAGTTCTTTTTTTAAGGTAAATAAGTGAAACAATTTAATCTAAAAAACCGTTAACTTAAACATAAACTATTTAACTTTAAACATTATTTTTAAACATTCCTTTTGTATTTACTGACACTGCGTTCTTCACACATAAAAAATTAATGTGTGTGTGTGTGTGTATGTGTGTGTGTGTCTGTGCATGTGTGTGTGTGTGTGTATGTGTGTGTGTGTGTCTGTGCACGTGTGTGTGTGTGTGTGTATGTATGTGTGTGTGTATATGTCTGTGTGCGTGTGTGTGTGCGTATATGTAACTGTGCGTGTGTGTGTGCATATATGTCTGTGTGTGTGTGTATGTGTGTGTGTATATGTATGCGTGTGTGTGCGTGTATGTATGTGTGTATATGTGTGTGTGTGTATGGGTATGTTTGTGTGTGTGTACTGTGTGCGTGTGTGTGTATGTGTGTGTATATGTGTGCGTGTGTGTATGGGTATGTTTGTGTGTATATGCGTGTATGTATGTGTGCGTGTATGAGTGTATGTGTGTGTATATGTCTGTGTGCGTGTGTGTGTATGTCTGTGTGCGCGTGTGTGTATGTATGTGTGCGCGTGTGTGCGTGTATGTGTGTGTGCATGTGTGTGTGTGTGTGTGTGTATGTGTGTGTGTGTGGGTATGTTTGTGTGTGTGTCCGTGTGTGTGTGTATATGTGTGTGTGTGTTAAATGATGACTCCTGTGTGTTTAGTGAACCTGCCAGCAGTGGATGTGTTTCTGTCTGCAGATACTGTAGTGATGTGAGGAAAACGCAGCTCCTCTCACATTAATCACACTGTATTTAATTACGGAAGCGTGTTGTTTATCTTCTACACTGTAATGAATAAATCAGCAGATAATCGCTTCATTCAGGTCTCAGGATATAATTATAATCATGATACAGCAGCATGTCGATGTATCGTCACAGCACTAGTCTACAAAATTCAGTAATATATTAACCAATATTACTGAGAGCATGGTGATGTGCATGCACACACACACACACACCTGGGAGTGTGTTTCTGTGTTTTCATCGACCTTATGACCTGAAGAAAAGGTAATTACTCTCCAGATTCTTCCTGTTTATCATCATGCTGCGTTCAACAAGCACGACTAATGAACACACAGACACACACTTTACCGTGTCGAGTTTATTTATTAATAAAACACACTTAATCCATCAGATACACAAAGACAGTGTGGATAAAAATAAAATAAAGGCATCACAAATAAGTGAGAAGGAAAGAGGAGTAAAAACATCTCCAGACCTCAAGTGATTTCCTCTGAGATTTACACACTCGGGTTCAGTACCTGATTTCTGCAATCGGAAATTAAACGCTAAGGTTTTTTTTTTTTCATGGCGCCAAAAAGCCTTGTACCGCGCGTATGGGTGCAAAGATTTAACAAAAACAAAACAAACAAACAAACAAAAAAAAACAGAAAACTATATTGAGTACTAACTCTATACACTGTACAGCTCTGTATATTTGCTTTTTAAACATATTCTATTTATCTATATTCATATTTTATACAGTACATTCCTCTATAGACTGCTAATTTTTTATCATATGGTCCACTAGATTTTCTTTTATTCTGTTTTTATTATGTGTGTGTTTATCTAGTTCGTTGTTGTTCTGATCGTTGTTGCACTGTGGGATGTGGAACTAAGGAAAAACATTTCACTACATTATATCACATTTATATAATATGTACTTGAACCTTGAAAAAATGTACATTATCTCAAACCAAAAATGTTAGACTTGTTCTGGTCCTCCTTATGAAAAAGCGTTCTTTAAGGTTCACTGGACATCTCACAAACGCTTAAGGCCAAGAATGACTTCTGCAGGTGTAGCGGTGTGTTATAAACACTCACAACTCCAAAATCCTTGCCATCAGGTCCTCATTACTGAATCTGAATATTATTGACAACAGATAAACAGGCATTTGAGGACTCATGCAGCAATTAAACAGTGCATGATGCTGAGAAAGATAAAAATAGATTAGATTACAAATTATTAAAAAAAACTGATTAAGGAAAGAAAAATAATCAACAAAATGCATACACGTACATCACAGAAGGACTTATAATCACAAATACACTGACTTATAGAGTGAAATCATCTGTTACGTGAAATATGAGGCTAAATGAAACACCATTTAAACTCGAAGAAGCAAAATGCGCAAACTCCCCAAATCAGCACGGTGGCGAGAGAGGAAGAGGAAACCCAAATATGGTCATGGCAAGTGGAATCACAAATTATTCTTGCTACACAGGTCTGAGATGTCATTTATTCATTTGTACAAGAAATATTCATTAATTGATCATTAGTGACTCAATAATCTTTACTAAACTAAATGTTATTTATTTACAAGGAATTTATTATCAAATCTTAAATTAATGAGCTACTAGAACTTATATAACCTTTGATACATGCGTAAATGTTTAAATTATTAGCAGTTTATTAACTCACACTGAGCTATGATC